AGGCCAGAAGGAGCTGAGCGTGCAGATGGTGCAGACGATGAAGATCGGCTTGAAGGACCAAAACAAGGGGCTCTTCTCCATCTGGCAAGAGATCTTCCAGCTCCCAAAGGCCCAAAGGTAGAAGGGGGGATTTATTGGCTCTGCTGTCTGCCTGGGGCACGGCGCTGCACTGGCCCAGGCTGCCCAGGGAGGCTGTGGTGTCTCCTTCTCTGGAGATGTTCCAGACCCACCTGGACGCAGTGCTGTGCAGCCTGCTGTGGGTGACCCTGCTTGGGCAGGGGGTTGGGCTGGGTGACCCACAGAGGTCCCTTCCCACCCCTAATGTTCTGTGATTCTGTGAAGTGGGACGTCCCACCCCCACGGGTACCACCAGAAGCTGCTGGGGCAGGGAGGAGCTTGGCGCTTGTAATCAACGCCAGCAACACCGCCATGACAGTGTCTGCTTTGGGTGCCCACCCTGAAAGGGGGTTGGGCTGGGTGACCCCCAGAGGTCCCTTCCAACCCCTGCCATGCTGGGATTCTGTGATTCTGTGATCCCAAGACCTGCGGTGGAGAAACTGGAAGGTCCTGGAGAGCTGGTCTGCCCTGTGGCAAACCCAGCTTCGTCAGCAGATCACAGAATCACAGATTTGTGTGTCCAGGTGCTCTTTGGCCGCTCTCCGTAGTGCCCAATAACTTGGCAGCGGTGTTGCCTTCAGCCTGGTGTACAAGGGTCCAGATGTTGCTTGCTGGTCCGTTGGGCGCCCGGGCACGCTGAGCTCTTCCCCCGGGCTCTCCCCAGGCACAGGATAGGAATGGACCCCGCTTTGCCAGCCCAGCTCCTGGTGGGCGACGAGAACATCTCACTCCTCGGGGCGACAGCTGGCGGCAACGCGTCCTCCCACCGCTTCCACCGCATCCTGCACCTCGCCGTCTCCTCGGGGGAGCAGGAGAAGCTCGCCCAGGTAGGGCCAGCTGAGGAGTCTGGGCTCGCTGGGATGCTGGGATGGGACCCGGCCTCTGGCCACCTCCAACCCCGCGCCCGCTTCCAGGGTCTGTACGACAATTTCCTGCACATGAAGCTGCGTGACTCCAGCTTCAGCTCGGTCTGCTTGGCCCTGGAGTGGCTGGGCTTCCCCGACCTGCTGAGCCAGGCTGTCCTGCGCGGGCAGAGCTTCCAGCTGCTGCGGTACCTGCCCTTCCTGCCCGTGGCTTTCCACCTGCTCTTCGCGGCCGCCAGCATCCCCCGGCTAGCTT